GTTTTTTAGTTGTCCAGCTAATTTCTTTCTATTTTTCCGTAGAGACGAGGTCTCGCTCTTGCTCAGGCTGGTCTCGAACTCCTGAGCAAAAACGATCCTCCTGCCTCGGCCTCCCAGAGTGCTAGGATTACAGGCGTGAGCTACTGTGCCCGGCCTAATTGTATTATTTTTAAAAAACAATTATTGAAATTAACAAAACTGCTAAGAGATTTCCTAATGTCCATAGGTTTTGAGATCTGATGTTGTGATTTAACAAGCATAAAAGAAATAGTTCTCCAGGCAACAATTAGGAAATACAAATAATCGTTACTCTTCAGAATCATTACTACTAAGATTCAGATAAGCTATGACTTTTTCTCCATCACTCATATTTTACAGATGCAGAAGCTATCAAAAAGGCTGAATGACTTGTTGAAAGTTACCCAAAGGCATCATGGGTGTTATACAGAATAATGGTATTACTGGAAGACTTCAGTACATATATCACCTGACTTATTTCTCCTGGCATTATCCACACAGTACATCACAAAACAAGAAAAGGAATTCCCAGGTCAGATTTAGTTACTGTCTTGTATATCAATCTAAATAGACCCATAGGAAGGCTGGCGTAGATCAAAAGACAGTCTGACTGGCCAAACTCTTAAGTCAAAGTTAAAAATGAAGAGATTCTTTACATCTCTTGAAAATCAGTAGTGACTATAGAAGTGCTTGGCAGACTGAGGTACCTTTCTGGATGATGCAATGCCCCGTAATACTGAGCCAGGAAGACTATAAGAGGCTGTGTACAGGGTACATTTTCCATTCAAACAGGGCATCTATAAATTAGAATAAGCAATACTCTACTCAGATCATTTATGCACTGTTTGCTATAGGCTTAAGCGCTTAGTAGTAAACTTAGGAAAGCACCTTCCAATTGTTCCCACATTAATTCTAAAAATCAGAACTTTAAGGATTTTTAAAATCCTTCAGCCAGAGAGAAGAAAAGAAAATCTGAATAACCTAAAACAGATATCTGAAAGTAGCATCTCTCCTCTTAAGAGAATTCAAC